AGGAAAAATTATAATCAATTATAGATTCCAGGATGGCAAATGAATTTCATAAAATCTGGTCTAAACTTCGTAATAGCATAATTTATTACGGCAACCCTGCAACAATATAAAAACTATACCTGAGAATTTCGTTGTAAAAGAGTAAACTTCAGAAGTTGATCGGTTTCAACATTTTTGTCATTGAGTGGGGTTGTATCAACCGCTCCCTACTTCTAACAATAATTATGTATTCACTGCAATCGACCTTGCAATCACTTCCCGCCAATCTAATATGAAAGCTTGGGAAGTATAATTGAAGAACACGGCTCTACCACTTCACTTCAATCTCCACTCCAATCATATAGATATGCTAGCACTACGCTTTTCATCATATTCTATAAAGAGCGACAACTCTGTATGTCTGTATCAGATGGCTCGAAAACGCTGGCTTGCGTGGTTGCATTGGTCTAGGAACAAGAATGTTTATCGGAATAATCCCGCAGGTTGTGGACTCAGATCTGAGCTAACACGATTTTTGAGACTTATTTTTAACACGTGACTTATCTCAAAATAAGTACTATTATTTTAAATAAGTCAGTAGTTTTTACATGATATACCAATGGATGATAAGTCTAATTACCTAAGCTCACCTGTCTTGGCAAACACATATATTGAAGTCGATTGTTTTTAAAGAATCGGTCCGTAACCCACTATTCTGGAGAATCTATAAGTTAACTTATTTCCTTTTCTTCAATAATGTACTCGTTACATCATAATGATCTGTTTCAAATACCTCGTCATACTAGTTGTTCTGAACATCATACAGTAATTATGCTGCGTATTATTTGGTTCAGCATGTGGTACACATGACTTGTTCCTACTTCAAATTAACCCGAATCATTGTATTGGTACCGACGAAGATTAGTTTTAGCCTTGTTTTGGTTCAAAACAGGTGAAAGTAGTTAGAGACAATCCGATTGGTGACATGTACCGAATACTGGTAATTGTAAATGGGACCCTGATTTTTGGTACTTAAGAAAAAAGTACAGTCTTGTAAAATGTAAGACTCAGTATCGAACAACTTTACTTCTTTTCTCGCATTCCTACGCCTTTTTGTGATAAACAAAGATACAAATGAATGCTACACAAGGAAGCGTCCGGTCATTAAGAAAGCAAATATATATATATAATTAAGTAAGCAAGTTTAAGTAAAGGAATATAGCAATCAGCTAATACATATGTTAAAGCAGCTTCGTGAGCGTGAAGAAATTAAAGGCGGGATTCAAATAATGTTATTTGATCCATTTTTAAGCTTTTTCTTTTCTATAAACAGTTTCATATAATCTGATAAATGTTAATATTTAAATATATCATAAATTGTCACATTGGCGTTGTATCTATGTACGTGGCGATCACCAGGCGATAACAAACAGGTCTCAATATAAAGCTTTCAGTGACGGTCAAGTAGTTTAATAGCAGCATTTTACCTGAAATAAAATGCATATTAAAATACTTACCTCACTGAAAGCTTTCACTTTAAATTCTGCCTGGTGAAATAATTGAGCCAATGAGTTAATATGGCGCTGTCAAAACTTAGGAAAACAAAAATGGCCGCGCTTCTGCCAGGTGTCGCCACTGGACCGGATATAAGGTGATAAAAGTACGGAAACTGATGGTAATTCGACGGGAAACGGAAGTGCTATCTCAATATAAAGCTTTCAGTGAGGTAAGTATTTTAATATGCATTTTATTTCAGGTAAAATGCTGCTATTTTCAATCCTTTGCTCGAAGTGAAAAGTTCGTGTATAGAGTACCGTATGCTGTAATAAAAACACAGTGTTTTTCATTAATTTCATTCATTCGTTTGATATCGACGTCTACTGAAAAGTAACAAATCCTTTGAACCTTGGAACTGATACCCATATAGCTATTCGTGAGCTCGATTACATTAAACATTTATTTTAGTCACGCTCAAGAAAATAGCCGTTCGAAGCCCAATCGTGGGGAACGTCCGCACATAATTAACAAAGCTGTGTTTGTTGTCCTTCGGGGCCCGGTTAGGTCTCTAATTAAATATAATAAATTCTGGACCAATCACAGCAATTATTTTATCGCAAACCAGGCAAAGCTGTATACTACTCTTTTTGACGACCTTCGTAGCTGAGAGACGAGACATATAATATGCTGTGAGTTTAGGTGTTGTCAGAGCAAATATTTACTTCTACTCGAAACGTAAACGTACCTAAACGCCCCAAGCTCAATCTCAACTTATTCGTAATAAAGTTGTGGAAAAATCAGGAAAGTCACAACAAGTGGCCGAACAAAATTGTCTTATAGAAGATCTATTATTAGACCAACTTATTTTCATAGTTGATTTTTCCTAACGTTTATTATTCTTGGCATTTACTGATCCAGTAAAATGGGTAGGTGCTGACTTTAAAAGCCGCCGCATTAAGCCGGTGCGGAGGCGTTTGTTATTATGTTTTGTTTGATTTGATAGATAATCTGTCTATGCTTATTTTGTAATATTTTATAACTGACAGTTTTCATAGAATCATTTTGTATAAAATATTCCCTAAAATAAGAGTTTGTTTCTCGAAATGAAGACTGTATACCTTAATTTAGATTTATTAAGTGCGAGAGTTTAGTAGTTCTATTGGATTGAGTAAATAGCGTTCTTATTATGGTATTTTTGAATATAATCGTTGTGATTTTTTTAAATTAAAATTTTAATTATTTGTGGAATCTTTTTTACATAAAGCGACCACATAAGCCTATAGACGCCTGCGATACCAGAGCGCCATCAGCGCAAAACTAAACCTGAACCTACTCACCGATTGAATTACGACACCACCAAAAGGTAGTCTTGTTTCATTGTGGTATTCTGTAATTTTAAAATCCTGGATTGATGAATCTAAAAAGCATTACTTCCTAGAAAAAAATCCACGCATATATCACATGGGATTCAAACCCGCACCTTCCGCAATCCGGGCGGGTGGAAGTTACTTGGTCGGACGGGCTCCAGGTCGGACGCGAATAACCGATAAAATAAGTTTTGGTATATCTTATCAACAACCTCCTTTGAGCGAGTCGTATGTACACTGGATTTCAAAATGTCGCCTACTCAGAGGTCCCAAATTCGAGTCCCGGTGAGGCAAATGTTTGTATAATGAATACGAGCATTTGTTCCTAAGGTATGGATATTATGTATTTCTAGATAAATATACCTACTTATAAGTATTCTATCTGTTACCCTAGTATCCCATAACACAAGCCGTACAGTGTGCTCACTTTGGGGCTAGGCTAATTGCTGTTAGATTTCTTTTTTTTATAGTAATATAAGTTAATTACGGGACTGTTACCATGTACCTTGTTTTTAGCGTTATAGCATGACCATGAAAGTTTTAAACAATATATTCTTTTTTTTAATTCTAATTTTGCAATTACTAAAGAATTCCTGGTATTGGATGAATATCTACGAACACACTATTTTCAGAAAATTCATTGCGCAGGTGGCGTTCATACTTTTATGAAAAAGTAAACATATGATGCAGTCTGTGTTTTTGTTCGCGCTCCAGCATGGGTGACAAGTTATGTTTTATATGTATAGCATTAAAAAAACTGAATGTCATTCTATTCGAGATTGTTATAGCTCGTAATGTCCCTGAAAATGAGGATGAAAGTAATCTGACCTTGACACCTAGAACGAAACACAAAATTATATTATGAGATCCAAACATGCCTTAACTTATCACAAATTATATTGTTATTCATTATATGTGACACGTAATCAAATTAATATAACAAAGTCAAAACAATATCGATATTTGATAACTGGCATAACACTATGAAAGAGGAATAAAAAATTTAATTATACTTTAATCAAATTGACTTATTGAAATGTGAAATGAAGTGAAGACCTAACGGGCGCGTCGAATTTCTTGTAGTAACTATAATTTAGGCTACAAGGCAAAGCCTCTTCTTGACATTGCAAGAATGAAGTACAAGCTAGTGAGATACTTTTACAATTATCAAAAATCCGAAAGAAGAAAAGCAAGTAGCAGTCAGTGCATTAGCACGGATAGCGAAGATTTGTATATCTAAAGAAGGTAATTGTATAACGATGGTTAGATTCTGGCGTTATATGTTTACTTCAGACATACAAATCTAGCAGTATTTTTCTTGAAATATAATATAAAGAATTAGTCCATTCAGAAAACACTGATTTCATTTATATTTAAAAGGCTCGAGTAATGTTTAACTCCTAGAGCAATTTTAATCCCATTTCTTTGTTAGTTTTCTATGTAACAACCGTAATAGTTCAATCATGTAGGAAGAGTCGTGGTAATCTTCAATAATAGTGTCAAACAACAAAGGTATCCCCCCGAGTGCCGAACGCCTCACCGAAGCCAACGCTACGCTTCATTTGGCAGTGCTGTCTCGTTAAGTATTCTGTTCACATTTCCAGGAAAGAGACGCAAAGGAAAATTACAGTCTACAGACACACTTTGGGTTTCGAATTTACGTAGTATTTGAATTCGGATGCTGGGCCTATACCATAAAATAATACTTACTTACGCCCGCCGTACCACAAATAAAGGAAAAATGCCATATAAGATTTGCATAAGGTTCAACTTCAGGTTTTAAAATAGTGTCTCGATTCAATTTAAATATTTATTGAACTTAAACAAATTACCAACTACTACGAGTTACGTTCGTACAAACATGGGTACTCACCATTTCTATTTAGTCTTAGGTTACCATTTTTGTCTGCCTGTCTTTCATTTAATAAAATCTTGCAAGTTCAATTTGACCCACTTCCCGGTTTCCCTTTGAGCTGTTTAATATACTTTAGGTATTCTATTGACCCACTTCCCGGTATCCATTTGAACCGATTTAATAAATTTTAGGTATTTGATTATTATTTGCGTGATTCAATTTGATCGATTTGTTTAGAATTAAAATTACCTAAGTCAGATTAGCTTACTTTGATTATTTATATTTAACATTTATTGTTACAGGTATTTCTGAGAATGCTAACGCAAAATCGGTAAGTAATTATTTCTTCACACACACACGCACACAAATCTCGCTACCTGTCAGTATTTTCTTCATTACACAGGGTGGAAGAAAAAATATCGTGGTTGGAGGAAAAGTACCCTTAATATTGATGATGGCAATTTTTTGGGAAAGGAGACACTTTTTTAAAATAATTAAAACTAGGTGTTTAAAGATTTTTGAAAAGTCTCCTGCTTTGACCGGTTCCACTCTCGACTCAAGCAGGAGATTTTTCTAAGATCTTTATATGCAGTTTTCAATACTTACGTAAATAACGGAATGTTTCCTTTTAGTAAACTTTGCCATCATCAATGTTTAGGTTACTTTTCTCACAACCACGGTATTTTTTTTCACTCCATATATAACAATGTAGTTACTTTACCTAATCTGTGGATATACTGTCTGTCTTTTAAAGGTCAGTTTTTAGTATCGAAAGCAGGTAAGTAAAACACATGTTGAGCCCCGTAGAGCAAAACTTTATTTGTTTTATTTTTCAATTGAACAGTACTATCCAGACATGTATTCCTGTCAATGCACGGAAAAAGATAAAACCTGGCAATTCTGCTAAACAGCATCAATTTGTATCATAAAATTGTCAATATGTCGTGGGTTGCCATTTCCCTGGAGGAGCATGTCACTTCATGTCGGGGATGATATTTTTTTATTAAGAATATGTTTGGAAATGGGTAGATTGAATAATTTTAAGCTACTTTTGTAAAAACTTTATAGAACAAAAGTTGCTTAGAATTAGCAATCTATCCATTCCCATACTTATTTTCAATAAATAAAATTTTTCATACTCGAGAAGGAATGGTCCCCTCCCAGATTAAAATAACCGCATTCTATTAAAAAAAAATCTGTTCTTGACTTTTACATGGGAACATGAAAACTCGCCTAATGAGAAAACTTCAAGTTTGATGAAGCCGTTGATGTGCTGACTGAAGATCAAATTCTAATAGAGGTTTTGAAATTTCATAAATATGATGAGATCTTTTAAAACTTTTTATAATATTGGTATGGATTCCATACTATTCATATGATGAAGTCTTCAATTGCAGTACAAAAAATTAAGACCTGGTCTCAAACCACGTTTATGTAAATTTTGTATGATATTTTCTGCTTGAATGCGTGTTTAATTAATATTCACCAAACTTTTTGTGGCATTTCTACGAAATGAATAGACTGTTTTTAATCAGTAAATACCTTCGACAATTCTACAGATAAGGGGTTGATACAAAATCAAAGCTAAAAGCTGTCCGCGTATGTTTAAACTTATGCAACTACACTCGATTCACAATGAACAAAGATAATTGTTTTAAAACAGTTTAAGTTGAACCTAATATCAACTATCTCACAAGGGAATAAGGTTACAAATATCAAAATGTTATTTCGCACAAACGACCTTTTATAACGAACTCTTGTTCCTTTTATAAATTATATCTGATACTTGGAAAAAAAAGATAAAGGTGAAAAAAGGAAAATGCGATCGATTCAACCTTATGCCCCACAAAATAAAATATTTTTAACAGTCATTGGCCAGCGAGTAACTTCATTTTGTATCAACCGAACTATATAAAATAAGATCTCACCCCTCAAATGAGGCTATATTTACCGAGACGGATTTTACGCACCAACTCGTTATCTATAGAAGGTAAATACTTACAAAAATAAACCAGCAAGTTATTAATAAAACCTATGTCAAACAGTAAGGTACCGAGCCGAAGTAATGCGTTAGGCATTGTTGCAGTAGTGGCATCTTGCATTTCAGGCACTGTGAGAGATTGATAATTTTTCGCATTCTTCAATGGGTAAAAAATGTTAAACTCACGTCAGGACACGTGACCTAAACAAAAATTCGTAAGACGAAAACAAAAAAAAATGGAAAGGTTGTTGACTTTCAGTATATTAGACGAAACAAAGTAATATTTTATTTTACCGTATTATAATAATAAGTCTCTATCTAGGACGTCCAGGTGACAGCTATATTGCGAAGATATGCGCGATTTTTCTAAAAACGAAATTAGAAAAGTATGAATTAAGCACTGACAAACCGACACCTGAAGGCACAACTACACCTGCAAAAATCTGTTCCAGTAACAAGAATAATCAAAAAAACTCGAAGAAAACCACATTGATTTTTACCCAGTCAGAAGATAACAATCAAATTGATAATTTGCAATCAGCGCCATCTAACTTGTTAAGTGAGAACCAAGTGGGAATGCTGCCAAACAATCGAATCTCAAGTTTATCGAAATCGAACATAGAAACCCGTAAGACGTCCTGTCATGAAAATATACCCAAAAATATTATTATCCTAGGGGATGAACAACTTCGTAGATTATCTTCAATATTAAAACAATCAAGAAATGGTAAATGGAATGACATATATACGACATTTGCACACATCAGGACCGGCGCAACAAGCTCAGAAATATTAGATAATAATGAGAATAATAACATATATAGTAACTTAGGAAAGAGTGATATTGTTGTATTGGGTATTGGCAGTCATGACCAAGATATTCACAAATTACACTCAAATATATGTATAACATTGAATAGAATTATGAAATAACCGTGTAATTATAATACCTATCAACAACAGTAATTATTTGAATGTAAAGTTATTAAATTACAACCTAAATTTATGGACAAAACACTTTGAAAACTGTACAATTCTCGAAGTAAATGACTATTATCAAAATAATGCTATGTATCTAAGGCATGTTACGTTTAAAATTAATCTGTGCATTGACTTTGCTGAATACAAAAACACTTATTTAAGTTTTGAGGTTATAAAAAACAATCTTCAAAAATCATCATTACGGATAAAAAAATTACCAGCAAATAAATAGCACGAGTCCTAGAAAGGGAACGATACCTTTTTATTTTTCTAAACAACAGAAGCGAATAAATAATAATACATTAAACTCACCCACAAAAGACTCATTTTTTCGAACCTAATATAAGCAATTGCTTCACACTAATGCACCAGAATATTCATGGCTTATTATCAAAAAAGGAGTTACTTGAAATAACTCTTAGAGATATAAAGAAAAAAAATAACTTTGACCCGGACATACTATGTTTTACGGAAACTTTTGTGAGATTTGGGGACGAAAAAAATATAAATATACATGGCTACGCTCTGGCCACCTCATACTCGAGGACAAACAAAAGAGGTGGAGCCTGTGTACTGATAAAGAAAGGAATAGAATTTAGAAATGTTTTGTACTTCAATGACTTAGCACTGACATATCATTTTGAATTTTGTATTGTTAATTTGTTATCTAATAATATTATAATAATCTGCTTGTATAGAATTCCTTCAAAAATTATCAGACATATTGACTATTTCTTCCTCAAACTTGACCTTTTACTGTATAAATGTATGAAGAAATATCCAAAGAAATTTATTATATTGGCGGGAGATTTAAACATAAATGTATGTGAATCAAATCAAAGTACTACAAGGTTACATGAAATATTAAAAAAATATAATTTAATGTTACATATCAATCTTCCAACTCGTGGCAAATCCTGTCTTGATATTATAGCTAGCAATGTGTGTCACGCAGAGGGTTTTATACTGCCATTGTTATTGTCTGATCACAATACCGCACAAATATTAAAATTTCAAGTAGACTACAAAAAGCAAAGTCCTAGTTTATTTTTTATTTACAAACGTTGTTATTCAGAAGATAATATTAGTAAATTTAAAAATTATCTAAGAAGCCGTTCTTTCTCAGAGGTGTATCAAAATCTAAATAATGCTTTTGATCGTTTTTATGAGCTTTTTTGTCTTATTTACGTTCTTTGTTTCCCGATAGTAAAGATAAAAGTTACAAATTCAAATGAATTAGTCTGGATAACAAAGGGAATACATAAAAGTTGTAATACAAAACGTGTACTACGATATAAATATTACACAACCAAAAAATATTCAGACAAAATTAAATACCTAAAATACAACAAGCTATTCAAAAAATGCACAAATTATGCAAAAAGAATCACAAATACAAAAATTGTAATGAATAGTAAAAATAAAGCTAGAGCTACCTGGAGTATTATAAAATCTGAACAAAGTAGGCTAAATACTGCTAATTATTTAAATAAAATAGTATACAACGGCATCGAAGTCACTAGTCCACAAAAAATTGCTTCTGTCATGAATAATTACTTCACTTGCATACCAAGCACAAGCATGAATGCAAAAAAGAGTACTGTAACTTCTACGGCACTATCAAAAAATTCCATATTCCTTACTCCGATTGGTGAAAATGATACAAGAAAAATTATAATGACTCTGAAAAATTCGCCAGCTGAAGGTTATGACTCTATTTGTACTAAGGTAGTGAAATCATGTACTGACGAACAAAAACAAGTGTTGACTTACTTAATAAATTTATCATTTGAGTGTGGAACATTTCCAGATAAACTAAAGGTATCAAAAGTTATGCCTTTATATAAAAAAGGTGATAAAACTGGCATATCAAACTATAGACCTATCACTCTAGTATCAGTATTCTCTAAGATCTTTGAAAAGGCCATGCATCAGTGTCTTTTGTCATTTTTCAACATATTTAAAATAATAAGTGAAGATCAGTATGGTTTCCAGAAGAAAAAATGTACAAGTCATGCAGCGTTCTTTATGGTTGATGAAATATTATGGAATGTGAACACTGGTAATTATACGTCTGTTTTATTTTTGGATCTGTCGAAAGCTTTTGATTGTGTATCACATGACCGACTTTTGGCAAAGCTGACGAACACTGAGATTAGGGGTCCCTTTAAGTTGGATAGAGACGTATTTAAAAAATCGTACTCAATTTGTAGAAACAAAACAACTAAATTCGAAACAAGTAGAACACACTTATAAGTCCGATTTAGAGGAAAAATGTTCCGGCGTTCCTCAGGGAAGTGTTCTTGGACCGCCTTTATTTCTGCTGTGCATAAATGATTTACCTAAAATTATAAAGCATAAGACAATAC